GTGTACGCGGATGTGTGCTTGTGCGCGTGCGCATGTGTGTGTATATGCGTGTGTGTGTGTGTGTGTGTGTGTGTGTGTGTGTGCGTGTGCCGGGAGGAGGGGAGGGAGGACCCCTCCCCCGCCAATCAATCAATCCGCGGCCGGAGGGAGGCCGCAAAGTAGAGGAGGAGGCCAGGGCCAAAGGGGCCAGGCCATGGGAGGCCGAGGACCGGGCGCACAAGGGGTTGGCGGACAGGGAAACCGCCAAGCGGGAGGTAGGGGTCAAGGTCCCCCGYTAAATCGCCAGGGTAACCGGTCCCCACAACGAGGAGGTGGAAGGGCACCTCAAGGAGGATGGCACCCAGGCTTGCAGCAGGGCAGACCTTAGGAAGATCTGGGCTTGGACCAGCGCTTATTGCAGGAACGCGTGAACATGGGTCAGTGCGTATTCTGTGGTGACCCGGCGCACGTAATTAAATTTTGTTTAAAGTATAGACAGGCTCGTTGGGCTGCTCAGCAGGCAAAAGGCAGCCGCCAGTAGGGGTCGCAACTGCCCCTACTTCCAGGCCATATGGAGAAGTGAGCGCGCGCGAAAAGGACACTCCCAACCCACATGAGCCTATGGCAGAGGTTGCAGGCCCGTGCCTAGGTAGTTGTCCAGAGACTGCTTGTGTTAGCGTCTCTTCAGACACGTCCCTCACAGGTGTGGCAGAAGAGTTAAAGGAGAGGATGCCAGCCTGGGCCAAAATGAAAAGGGAGAGTAAGGGACAAATGATTTTGGTAGATGTAGAGGTATTTAGAAGTAGAGTTGGGGCCCTTATAGACTCAGGGGCTACCCGTAGTTACATCAGCCGTAGGGCGCTGAAGAAGCTAAGGCTAGGACTAAAAGTCCAAAAGTTAGTAGACCCCATAGTCAGTGTCCTCGCAGACAACCGCACAATGCGAGTTGAGGACTACGTAGAGGGAGTCCAGGCTTACTTTCGCCTAGAGAAAGATGAGAAGGTGGAGAAAGTTCTCCATTCCCTGASTCTCCTCGTGCAGGATGACCTTCCTTTCGATATAGTGTTAGGAATGGATTGGGGAGAGGCAGCAGGGGCTACACTTCATTTGAGAGAGCATGAGTGTAGGCTACCTAGTCCGTCAGGCGAGGTTAAGACTGCCCGCTTGTTCCATGTGTCTGGTGTAGATAACACCTTGGCACATTGCTGTCTCAGTGCTCCCGCGTTCGCGCGATTAGTAAAGAAGGAGCGGTTAGAAGACCAGGTCTTTGTAGTTTATGTTAGGCCTGTCACCGAGGCCCAGGAAAAGGATAGTTCCACAGATCCAACAATTGCCAAGCTGCTGGAAGAATTCAAAGACTTGACTGAGTCGCCGACAGGAGTAGTGTCGCAACCCATCCAGCATAGGATAAAGATAGAGCCTGGCAGTAAACTCCTAAGGGTGCAGTCTACAGGATGTCCCTTAGAAAGTTAGAGGAGTTTCGCAAGCAGTTAGACGAACTCCTTAGGAAAGGTTGGATCAGGCCCAGTTCGTCTCCTTTTGGAGCACCCGTTTTGTTCGTCCCCAAGAAGGAAGGAGAGCTGAGAATGTGTATAGATTATAGGGGTTTGAATGCGATCACCGTGAAGAATGTTGAGCCGCTGCCCAGGATAGACGATCTTTTAGATCGGGTGCAAGGTTGTAAGTATTTATCTAAGATAGACTTAAAGTCCGGATACCATCAGATAGAAGTCCATCCTGATGATCAGTACAAGACTGCATTCTGGACTAGATATGGGCATTATGAGTTTATAGTGATGCCCTTTGGACTGACCAACGCGCCAGCTACTTTTCAGCGTTGCATGAATGACCTGTTTAGACCGTGGTTAGATAAATTTGTGGTAGTCTACTTAGATGATATCCTAGTCTTTAGTAAGACCCTCCAGGAGCACCAGGGTCATCTSAGGCAGGTCTTAGAGAAGCTTAGAGAGGCTAACTTTAAGATCAATGCGAAGAAGTGCGAGTGGGCCAAGATGCAAGTCTTGTACTTGGGCCACGTGTTGGACGGAGATGGCATTAAGCCAGAGGACAGCAAGATAGCGGCGATTAGAGATTGGCCGACGCCCCGCACGTTGACAGAGTTGCGGTCGTTCCAAGGCCTAGCTAACTACTACAGGAAGTTCGTGAGGAACTTCTCCACTATCGCCGCTCCCTTGCGCAGGTTGTTGAAGAAAGAGACAATCTGGCAATGGGATAAATACTGTACGTCTGCGCTAAAAAAGTTAAAGCGTGCGTTAATGGAATATCCTGTCCTCAAAGTAGCGGATCCATCCTTGCCATTTGTCGTTACCACGGACGCAAGTCAGTATGGGATAGGCGCCGTGTTGCAGCAGGACGACGGCAATGGCTATAGACCCGTAGAGTTCATGTCAGCGAGGATGCCCTGTGAGAAGGTCGCTACCTCCACGTACGAGAGAGAACTCTACGCTCTCAGGCAGGCTTTAGACCATTGGAAGCACTATCTGCTTCGGAGACACTTCAAAGTGTATTCTGACCATGAGACACTTCGTTGGCTAAAGACCCAGGCCAAGATGACACCTAAGTTGACTAGGTGGGCCGCAGAGATAGACCAATTAGACTTTGAGCTCAAGCCAGTGAAGGGCAAGTACAATGTAGTGGCGGATGCTCTAAGTAGGAGATCAGACTACTTTGGAGCCGTAATACATTATTTGGATATAGGGAGAGACCTGCAGGAGAAAGTGAAACAAGCGTATACGCAGGACCCTATCTATAGCGACCTCCTAAAGAGAGTTAGAGAGRCCCCAGAGACCGAACCAGATTACCGCACTACAGACGGGTTGCTGTTTGAGAAGACTAATGTGTTTGACYGCCTGTGCGTTCCCAACAGCGAAGAGATTCGTAGTCTAATTCTAGGGGAATGTCACGATACTGAGGGACACTTCGGTTGACAAAAGACGTTAGCCAATCTGATGCGTGCGTACACATGGCCAGGGATGAAGAACGACTGCATAGAGTATGTCCGCAGTTGTAAAGTGTGCCAGAGGAATAAATCTACTACACGCGCGCCCCTAGGTCTTCTCAGACCCTTGCCTATTCTGGATCAGCCGGGAGACTCGGTATCCATAGACTTCATGGACACGCAAGTCAAGAGCAGACATGGTAAGAGCCAAGTCATGGTCATAGTCGACCGTTTTAGTAAGTATGCAGTTTTTGTTCCCTTGCCTGCAGAGGCACGTACAAATTCAGTAATACAGAACTTCTTTGACTTTTGGGTTAGGGAGAATGGAATCCCATTGTCAATAGTTAGTGATAGGGACAGTCGTTTCACGAGCCAGAACTGGCAAGAACTAGTGAGAGTCTACGGATCTAAGTTGTTAATGTCGTCCGGCCGTCACCCAGAGACTAACGGTCAGACAGAACAGATGAA